TGAAAACAAGTACCAAACATGCAAATAATGGTCAAATATGGTTATTCTTTGATGAAATTAATACTTGCAATCATATTGGACTTATTTCCGATCTTATAGCCCATAGAACATTATCAGGCAGGTTAATACATTATAACATTCGCCTATTTGCTGCATGTAACCCATATCGGCTACGCAAAAAAAATGTAAGCAATGTAGGTTTAGAAAAAAATTATCAAGAACAAAGTAAATTAGTCTATCAAGTACACCCTCTACCTGATCAAATTTTGGATTATGTATGGGATTATGGTGTTCTCAAACCTGAAGAAGAAAAGGTATGCAAGTTCTCTCAAAATAAAGGTGTAAATGTTAAACAGTAACATTTTAATTGAAAACCAAATTTTTATATTCTACCAGGCCTACGTTAAAATCATGGTGGAAAGTCAGCTAGGAGTGCACCCAATATTTGTGGATTTGCTTTGTGAATCACAGAAATTCATTCGTATGGTTGAAGAATCATATACAGTCAGCTTGCGTGATGTAAAAAGAGCAATAAAATTGGCTTTATGGTTTCAAAAAAGTATGAAAAAACGTCCACCAGCAGCTCATACTAATGGTATCTCATTTATCACGAAATATTGGAACTATCCTCCAAAGGATGAAAAAACTTTGATACGTAATAGTTTTGTTCTATCACTTGGGCTTTGCTATCAATCACGTTTATATGATCAAGATTTGCGAGAAAGATATTGAGAGTGCATGGCACAAGTTTTTAGGAATTACAGGCAAAGGCTTGATGCTACAGAATTTCAAAAGATAATTCGCAGGGAACAAAAAGATTTTATAGATCGAATGGTTTGCCCTCTATCTACAGCAAATAATGATGCTCTTTTAGAGAACATTCTTGTGATGATTGTTTGCATATTGAATCGGATCCCTGTTTTTATTATTGGCGCCCCCGGCAGGTTAGAAATATCTTTAAATAATATGTTTAAATTTAAATTATTTAAATTTAAATTATTTAAAACTAAATTATTTAAAATGTTTATAATATTGCATCTGACAGCTCAAAGTCACTGGCAGTACGACTTATTAGCTCAAATCTTCGAGGAGCAGATTCAGATGATGAATATTTTAAGACATTACCACAGGTAATTTGTATATTGTCTTTAAAATACGCAATTATATAGTTCTAACAAAAAAAAAAAAAAAATGTTATAAGATGTATTTCATACCACATCAAGGTTCAGCTTCATCAACTTCAGCTGGTATCCTAAAGGTTTTCGATAAAGCAGAAACTTATCAAAAAACAAGTTCAGAAGCATTTCCTGTACAAGCCGTTGTCCTTCTTGATGAAGTCGGCCTAGCAGAAACTAGTCGATTTAATCCCTTAAAAGTTCTTCACGCTCTCTTAGAACCCGGTTTCTCTAAAGATGACTCTATCGAAAGTTCAAAAATATCAGATATTACACAAGAACCTGCGGTTTCTGGCCTAAAAGATCCTATGGAAGGTTCATCAGTATCAGCTACTAGTAAAATTGGTCCGTCTAATAAAGCAGATTTTAAAGATGGTCCAACAGTATCAGTTGTTGGCATTAGCAATTGGCGTCTAGACAATAGTAAATCGAGCAGAGCGTTGCTCGTGCAACGACCAAAATTCAACAGTAATGATTTAACTTTAACAGCATCCATGCTTTTAGGCAACAAAACTAAAAATGGAATCGCTGATCCTATACTTAGACAACTTGCTGATGCTTACCTTGATTATGAAAAAAATCAAAAATATAAAAACTTTCATGGTAAGTATTTTGTTTTATATAATGTGTCGGAAAATAAATAAAATCCAAAAATTTGACTTTGGTTATTGACTAGGTCTTCGCGATTATTATGCATTGGTGAAAAGTCTGAGTGACTCCGAGCAGACAAGTGAGATCTTTTTATTTTTATTATTTACTCATTTCTAGTTATACTACAGTACTAATACAGTAATACATATAATGTTCACAAATTAGTGCAATCATTAGAACTAGCACTTATAAGAAACTTTGGAGGAACTGACCAGACAAAATTGATATGTGAAAATTATTTTGGAAAAGTTT